CAAAAACTATATTTAAATAGTTTTTCTATGAGGTTATGTTTTATTTCTTTAATATTATTTTCACTGGAGACAGTTCTAAACCATAAAGTAAGCTATAGTGTTAAAGCTATATTTGCATTATTAATCTGTGTCCTAGGTTCTGTCCTCAGATGTGATGGTACCTTTTCAGAGGGTAGGAGAACATTATTTAATCAAGACCTAGCAGGTTGGTTAGAATGCAGCCTTGTAACACCAAGGTCAAGGGTTCAGATCCCCTTAACTGGCCTTCCACCAAAAAAACAAAAACAAAAATACTCCTGGCAGAGTTTTTTTCAACATTTAATTTAATCTCATATAATTATTGTATTTGGTATCTATATGTAGAGAGGAGGATGATCAACTTTCCCCCCTGTTTTATAATAACCAAACATTTACAATTATACTTAAACTATATTGTGGAACTGATTTAGGCAACACAGCAGGAATTACTTTGGACAGACTTACTAGCCATTGAAATGGGAAATTGAAAAAGCCTTTGAGATATCTCTTCAAGGTCATAAAAACAGGAGTAATTATGATATATACAAACATTAGTTATCTGTACTGTCTTAACATAAGGCTTATCAGATTGTGAGCTGATATAGATTTCCTTGATAGAAGGGAAGAGGAAAAAGGAAAAAGATAAAGGCAAAAGAATGACCAGAAGCCCATTATGCTTTAACTCTGTCACTGTTTCATATTTTGTTTTTAATATTTTGAGAACATTTAAGTTCTTGATTTTATACATTAATTAGGTTTTCTTTGTCTAACTGCACAGAACAGTGGGAGGAGAAAATCAAAGGCAGAGACATTAACAAAATTATTTCCTTTTTTAAATCCTCATAACTTAAATTGAACAGAATACCAAAAGATAGTACAGTTGGGCCCCCATATTCGCAGATTCCACATCCTCTGATTCAACCAACTGCAGATCAAAAATATTCAGGGGGAAAAAAACATAAAAAATAACAATACAACAATAAAAAATAATATAAACAAAATACAGAATAACAATTATTTACATAGCATTTACTTCATGTTAGGTATTATAGGTAATCTAGAGATGATTTAAAGTATACAGCAAGGTGTGGGTAGGTACTATGCAAATACTACACCATTTTATATAAAGGACATCTGTAGATTTTGGTATCTGTCGGAGTATTGAAACCAGTCCTTCATGGATACTGAGGGATAACTGTATACAGGTTGAGTATCTCTTATATGAAATGCTTGGGACCAAAAATGTTTTGGATTTCAGATTTTTTTAGATTTTGGAATATTTGCATTATACTTAACTGGTTGAGCATCGAAATCTGAGATGCTTCAGTGAGCATTTTCATTTGAGCGTCATGCCAGTACTCAGAAAGTTTTGGATTTTGGAGGATTTTGGATTTTTGGATTAGGGATACTCAACCTGTACTCATGTAAACCTCTCTTGCACTAACAAGGCAAGATACTAAGATACTAACAAGACATACTACAGGGAGCAATGGGACACTGCCCCACATACATATGGAAAGTGAAAGTTAAGGTTCTATAAGAATTCTGGGATCTAAAACTGTTATTTGTTGTTTAAATAGAAATAAACATGGAATTGAGTTTCTTTTAGCCAGTTACTTGGAGCTAAGAGCCTATTAAGATGAAAGTAAACATTTTCAGTTTTATGGATTGCTTGATTTATTGAAGAGCTGTGCAGAGAACTGTTTGTGGCATTATGACTGCATGAGCAATTACAGGGTTTCC